GTGTGTGTGTGTGTGTGTGTGTGTGTGTGTGTGTGTGTAAAATATATATTACATCTAAAATAAATATATAAATATACAATATTAGTAAAATCAGGGTTGAAATTAATGAAATTGATATTAAAAGAACAATAAAACAAAGGTTTGAGTTGAAAAACAATTACCTAAAAATAACTAAAATAGAATAGAGACTCATATTAATAAAATTAAAGAGAGTGTGGGGACATTATGATAGATAAGCAAGGAAATCCATAGGATCATTAGTGAATATTTTGAAAATATGTTCTAATAAATTGGAAAGTCATGAAGCATATAAGCTATCAAAATTAAATTGAAGCTACAAGTAGTTCAAGAAGATCTGTGACATGAAGTTGGGTGATAATAAAGAATGTCATGTGAAGACAGTCTGGAGCTGGACTGTTATTGCCTAATTCTACCAGATAAACGACCATTAAAGAAGAGCTAGTGCCAACAGCTCTCAAACTGTTCCATACAACACAAAGGGAAGGAACACTAACCAGAGTCATGCTATGAAACCAATAGTATCATCAGATCCTATGGGCCCAAAGTCACAGATGATACTAAAACCAAATATGAACACAATGAGCATAGAAACCATAGACTGGCCCCCAAGATGAGCACAGACAGAAAGAATCTTCATAAAAATACTTGAAAACAGAATGAAAGAACACACTCAGGATTGCGCACTGTGGCCTGGTTTTACTTCAGGAGGTAAGGGTGGTTCTACATGCATAATTAATGTAATTAAGCACATGAATAGACTTAATGGTAGGAATCACATGATCATCTCCATGGATGAAGGAATGACCTTTGACAAAGTTCAACATCCCCTTCATGATAAAATGACTGAAGAAATTCAGAAGAGACGGAACATGTTTCAACATAATAAAATCTTCACATGACATTTTGCTGAATGAAAAATTCCTCTAAAATCAGTAACGAAGCACAAGTGTCTTCTACTCTCTCTATTTTTCTTCAATATACTGCTTGATTCTTAGCTAGAGAAATAAGACAGAAGAAAGAATAAAAGGGATGTATACAGTTGGGGAAATCACGTCATCTCTGTAGAAGACATGATCCTGTATTTAAAAGCTCCTAAAGATTCCACAAAAATACTCTTTGATCTGATAAGTACTTTCAACAAAATACCAGATACAAAACCAACATTGAAGAACCAGTAGCCTTTCCACTTAACCAGCAAAACGCTTGCTGAGAACAAATAACAGGAAAGTAATACTATTCATAGTAGCTTCTAAAAACACAAAATAGCTATGAATAAAGCTAACCAAGGAGACTGAAGACCTCTCAATAATGACCAAAACACCAAAGAAAGACATTGAAAAAGCCACTAGAAGATAGAAAAAAGTCTCCCAAGATACTGAATTTGTAGAATTAGTATTGTAAAAATGCAATATTACTGGAAATGATGTGCAGACTCAATGAAGTTGAATTTCAGCACCATTCTTCATAGAACTAGAAAGAGCAATTCCCAAATTTCTGTGGAAACACAAAATAACATGAATAGTCAAGGTAAGCCAAAGAAGAGAGAGAAATTCAGGAGGTATCACAAAATCTCAGACTGCACTAGAGGCTGGTGTGGTAGCATACCAGCAAAAAAAAA